TCAGCAGGTCTGTATCTCTTTTTACAGGAGATTTTTAAAAAAAAATCATTCCTATCATAATTGCTAACCTGTACTCCCTGATTTTCACTGCTCAAAGGAAATGGAAAGTATCTTGAACCAAACAGGATTCAAGATAATTCTTTATTAAAAGTACATGCAATAATCACAGAATGCCAGATTCAAGACTATCAACTAAAACCTTGTTCTAACCTTTGTCTGGGTTCGCTCCTTTCTTTCTTGGCTTTCTCCACTCTGCTTTCCTAATCCAAACTCCCACAAAATATAATTCCTGTTTCATAAGATTCATGCAAAAATGACATTAAATATAATTCATTAAAATGAATTTTCCTTGATATTTCATTTTGTTGGAAAGCAGATACTACTGATCAAACAAGGGAAGGAATATGTATTAAGAAAGCTAAAATTAAAATGTTCTATTTTCAGACTTATTTAAATCAAGTCATAGTTAAAATTCTAGACACTCTGTTTACATCTATAAATTATATGCCATGGGGCACCTGGGTGGCTCAGTCAGTTAAGCAGCTGACTTCAGCTCAGGTCATGATCTCATGGTTCGTTGGTTCAAGCCCCACGTCGGGCTCTGTGCTGACAGCCAGCTCAGAGCCTGGAGCCTGTTTCAGATTCTGTGTCTCCCTCACTCTCTGACCCTCCCCTGCTCACACTGTCTCTCTCTCTCTCTCAGAAATAAATAAAACATTTATGTGTGTGTGTGTGTGTGTGTATACACACACACATATATATACATATATAATATGCTTATGTTTTTCCTCTGGCCCCAAATAAAGTCCCATATACATGCATTCAGACTTGAAGGCCCAAAATAACAAAATAGCTTAGACCTCACCTTATTTCTATCCCATGATATGATAAGATCCAAAACAAGAACAAGTCAAAAGATGTGTGGCCCAAAAGTACTCTACAAAGCTAATGACCAAATTATCCCAAGTCTAAAAGCTTACAACCATTCCACAGTCAGAAGTTTACCATAAGGCAGACATCTAGTTCAGCCTATCCCAAATTCCCATATAAGTAACTGAAGCTTTTGGAGTTTCTCCAAAACAAAGTATCTGTCAGGTTCTCCTCAGTGTAAGTCTTGGCCCTTAAAATGGCTCTTAACTAGGCCAGCCCTCACAGTAAGCTCATTCCTAGGGAACAAGTAACCAATGGCATTCACTACTCCTCCACAAGACAGGCACCGGGCACCACCATCTAGAAATGAAGAAGTAAACCAAAAGTCCATGAATTTCAATTCCTCTTTCTAATATTTTTTCTAATACATTTCAACACTGATTTTGATGAAGATAAAAGTAATAATATGAATAATTCAAAAATAATAATCTATCAAAATCAATATAAGGAATCATTTTTTAAACAGAATATAGAGTTTTAGAGTATAAAACCCAGCAAACCTATTACCATAGTAGAATTAAGGAGACGACCCCAAAATATCTTTTTCAGATATATAAATTCTGAATGAAAGGCTTTCTTCACTAAGTCTACTTGATGATCTACATAAAACAAAATTCCACATCGACTGTGGTAGCGGGAATAAGAAATTCTACAATAAATAAAGAAAATCCAGATTATTGCTGGTATCCTATTTTCCTCAGCTTGAAAGTTACTGGTTTCTGAATGCACATGACAATAAAATATGATGATTTAGGAACTTCTGAAGTGCTTTAAAACCTTTGGATTGGTCATCCCTTAAGGAAAGAATCTTAAAGTTGCTTCTTGACTAAGGTTGACACAATGGGAAATTACACAAGTTTATTTGTAAACAATCATACAGGAAACAAAGGTGTATAGGAGTAGTTTACAAAGTACTTCCTAGTGATACGGTATTTGGTCCTAAAACTCACAAGCTGGAATTTGTCCTGAATTTGACTCTTCTCCAACCAGTTAGAGAACTTTCAAGGTTACATAATTCCTTCCATAATCAGGATTCCCTGGAAAGCAGAATCTCCCTAGTATAAAAACCGAAAGCCAAAACTATGACAATTAAATCAAGTTATCTGTCCACTTTGTCCAAATAAATGCCTTTCATCTCCTAAACTCACTTCTTTTCTCCACAACGCACAAGTCCAATTCATACAGTCTGCTCACTGACTGTCAAAACTACTTGAAACTTTTGAAAAAGACATTCCTTTTCACTAAGAATAAGGTACCATCTAAAAGCTAAAAAAATAATCCTGTCATGCGGTTTGAAATGGCCATTTCTTAAATGACTGATAAATGGCTTGTTTCACATAAAGCCTATATTAGGGACCGTTTCCAGATCAGACATAAATGGGGCTATCACACCAACAAAATGCTACTATTATTGGCTATTATGAGCCTTTTCGCTGTACATATCAAAAGCCTGTGGTAATAAACCATGCAAGACACAATTTACAAAACGATATGTTACCTGTAATACAAAACACAGATTCACTGTTCAGTTATGATCTCTCCTCACAAAATCACATACCACCTACCTGTTAACCAGTTCCTATTTAACTTAAGTTTTATAGTTTTTCTTTGTTTCTTCTCGGTTCACCCTACCGGTATCCGCAATCTAAATAACTAACTACTATTTTAAACAAAGAGCTGAAAGACAGAAAAGACGGTACGTGGATAATCAAGAAATTGTGAGACACACGAACCCCATCGTGTTCGGGCCTGGAGAGAGGAAGAGTCTTATCTACAAAGGCTGGGCGGGAAATGAAGGGTACAACAATCTGACAGAGTCCTGGACTGTGCACTTTCCTGTAAAGTGAAGAACCGAGGCCAATTTAATTAAACGTCTTCAATTTTAAATTCTTAATCCAGATGTTTACCTTATTTTTTCACCACCCTCTGAAACTCCATGCAGGGGTGCCAAGACAATCTTCCTCTTTGGCTCCTAGACTGAGAACGGGGCGCGAGGAAAGGAAACGAGTGGAAAAAGTAAGCGGTCCTAAGACTCTCCAGAAAGTGCAGCAGCCGGGGGGCCGCCCGTGTGTCTGGGACGTCTAAGAGACTGCTGGAACTTCCCACGCAAACACAACAGTGCGGTTTGAGGAAAAGTTCCCCGAGCCCCGCCCCCGACCTGGGCCTACACCATTGCGTCCCTTTCCGAAACCCACTAACTCACAGGTCTCCTTGGGGAAGGGCTAAGCAGGGCCTACTGGTACTGCCCGCCCAGGAGCTCCAAGGCCGGAGCAGCGAGAGCCCGGCGCGCTCGGATGCAGCTGCCGCCCCTGCCAAGGCAGGTAGTGGCCCGCGGAAGAACCAGGCCTGGCTCCGGCCGGATCCGACTTGCAACCTAAACCCCAGGCTCGGCGGCCGGGGAGGAGCGACACAAGGAAAGGCAGGGCCAGCAAGGGTGTGGGAGGATCGGGGCGGTGGCAAGAAGCGGAAGACCAAAAAGTCACCGAAAAAGCGGCGTAGAAAGCCCTGTCAGAAACACCCGGAAGACCGCCGCGACCCGGATGGGAACAGCGAGCAAGGAGCGAAAGGTCACACTTCCGGCAGCCTCCCGGCCCCGGCTAGCGCTTCGCTTGAGTGCGCCGGCGCACAAACGCCGAGGTCTGGGTTTGAACGGAGGTGGGAGGTCAGCGCTCGCTGATGAGGAAGGGTTAGGGCTTCCCTGTTAACAAGGCGAACCGGGCAGTCGGCAGTGGCCGAGCCGCGGAGTTCTGCTCGGAGCCACCCTCCCGAGCTGATGCACAACGGCTTCTGTTCTGTTAAGCACTTTTTGCTGATAATTTGTGTCTTAGCTGGATGACTGCCCCCGGGAGAAGCGTTTCCTGACCCAGTTTTCCCTCCCTCTTTTGCGCTGATCTGTGTTAAGTTTTGGTTATTTTCCCCCCTGCAGTGAAATGAAAGCAGCTTGGGCATGAAAATGCTTTATTTATCCCTGAAGCCTGGACTCCGCTCCCTGTCTTTAATAATAGCTAATATTCTTTTATTCAAATGTTTAATATTTCTACTGGAGTGAAGATATCTAAGTTGTTGGGTTTCTTAATGTAAATCTGTTACCAATATACCTTTATTTTCTTCCTAATACGTGTAGACGAATTTCTCGTTTCCGAAACTGGTAATTTGTGCCCTCGTTCTTTTTCTTGATCATTCCGATGAGAGACTTACCAACTTTACTGATCTCAAATCCCAAAGCCATGTTTCGCTTTCAAAGATTATCTTTGCTTCCTATTTACTGACTTCTCTTAGGTTTACTTCCTTTCTTTTGCTTTTTTTTTTTTTAATTTACTAGTTTTTTAACTCGGAAACTGAGATCATTGATTACAGATGTTTCTTCTTTTGTAATACAGGCATCTGGTGGGATGGTATCTTCCAGACATCTTTCTGTTATTGATTTCTAATTCAATTCCATTATAATCAACTAACACACTTTGCATAATTTGAATCATTTTCAATTTATTGAATAGAGTCTGCCTTGATAAATATTCAGTGAGCATTTAAGATTAATGTGTATTGCTACAATTGTTGGGTTAAATGTTCTACAAATGTCAGTCGCATCGAATTGGTTGATATTGTTCAAATCTTCTAAATCCTAGAGGATTTAGAATATGCTGATATTTTGTCTACTCACCGATTAATTATTAAGAGAGGAGTTTTGAACTCTCTAACTGTACTTACGGATTCTAGTTCTGCCTGTTGTGCTATCAGTTTTGCCTCATATGTTTTGAACTCTGCTCTTACAGTCTTTTTTTGTATTTATAATTGTTCTGTTAATTTTTTTAAATATAATTTATTGTCAAGTTAGCTAACATAGAATGTATACATTCTGCTCTTGGTTTCAGGATTCTGTTCTGTCATTTAGATATATTTATCCATAACGAAATTGATTAGGAAAAGTGTTTTATCATTATGAAATGATCCATTTTATATATCATCCATTTTATAAAACTCTTTTTCTTCTGGTAATATTTTTTTGCTCTAAATTGTACTTTGTCTGATGGTAATATAGCCACTCCTGCTTTCTTTTTTTGTAGAGTTAACAAGATGTATTTTTAAAAGAAAAATTCTAATTCTACAAAAGTCCTCCTGATACCCAGACCCAAGAGGTTACAAGTAAACTATATATACTCGTAAACAGATGCAAAAATTCTTAACAAAATTCCAAAATTTATATGGAGATGCAAAGGACCTAGAACAACCAAAACAACATTGAGAGTGAAGAGCAAAGTTGGAAAATTTACACTAAATTACCTGATTCCAATATTTACTATAAAGCCACATTAACCCAGAAGGTATAGTATTGGTGTAAAGAGAGAGAAACAGATCAATGAGATGGACCAAATTCTATTCAATGAAGCTGAATAGAGAATTTTTTTTTAATTTTTTTTTTAAATGTTTTTTATTTATTTCTAGGTGAGAGAGAGAGAGACAGCGTGAGCAGGGGAGGGTCAGAGAGAGAGGGAGACACAGACTCTGAAACAGGCTCCAGGCTCTGAGCTGGCAGTCAGCACAGAGCCCGACGCGGGGCTCGAACCCACGAACCGTGAGATCATGACCTAAGCGAAAGTCGGACGCTTAACCGACTAAGCCACCCAGGCGCCCCTGAATAGAGAATTTTTAAAAGGTGCCAAAGTTGTTAATTTCAATAAAGGACAAAGGCAATTCAGTGGAGAGAAGAAAGACTTTACACTAATAATGCCGAAACATTGGGTATTCATAGGCAGAATGAATGAATGAATGAATTAAATATTGTATGTGAAAACACAAAATGGATCATATATCTAAACATAAAACTTAAAACTTCTGGAAGAAAACAGGAAAAATACCTGTGATCTTAGGCTAGACAAAGATTTCTTGGGCTTAATATGTAAAGCACCATCCTTGAAAGACAAAAAGTAATAAGTTGAACTTCATCATTAAATGGTTAAGAGAAATTAACTATTTCTTTTCAGGACACTAAGAAAATGAACAGAGTAGCCAAAAACTGAAGAAAGTATTTGCAAATCACATATCTGATAAAGAATTTGTATCCAGAATGTATTTTTATTTATTTATTTTTCTATTTTTTTAATGTTTTATTTATTTCTAGGAGAGAGAGAGAGACAGCGTGAGCAGGGGAGGATCAGAGAGAGAGGGAGTCACAGACTCTGAAATAGGGTCCAGGCTCTGAGCTGGCAGTCAGCACAGAGCCCGACGCAGGGCTCGAACCCACGAACCACGAGATCATGGCCTAAGTGAAAGTCGGACGCTTAACAGACTAAGCCACCCAGGCGCCCCCAGAATGTATTTTTAAAAAATCTTTCATACCTCAAAAAAAAAAAAAACCCAGAAAACTCTCATACCTCAATAAGAAGAAATTGAGTAACCTAATAAACAATTGGGCATAAAATTTGAATGGACACTTCACCAGAGAAGTCATATAAATGGCAAATAAACACATGAAATTATTCAACATCATGCATAATTAGAGAAAATACAAATTAAAACCACAATGAAATATCACTACCTACCTATTTCTTTTTTTAATTTTTTTAAAGTGTTTATTTATTTTTTTTTTTGAAAAAGAGAGTGTTAGTGGGGGAGGGGCAGAGAGAGGGACACACAGAATCTGAAGCAGGCTCCAGGCTCTGAGCTGCCATCACAGAACCCAACACGGGGCTTGAACTCATGAATCGTGAGACCATGAGCTGAGCTGAAGTCGGATGCTTAATTGACTCAGCCACCCAGGAACCCCTCTACCTACCTAGATAAAATTAAAAAGACCAGCCCTACCGACTCTCATAACCACTAATGAAAATGTGAAATGTTACAACGTCTTTGGAGAATGCTTTGGCGATTTCTTAAAAAGTTAAACATATATTTACACGTGACCTAGACATTACACTCCTAGGTATATATCGAAAAGAAATGAAAGCATTTGTTTAAACAAAGATTTGTACACACATCTTCACAGCAATTGTGTTCATAATAGGCCAGAACTGGAAACAATGCAAATGTCTGTCAACAGGTAAATAAATAATTGATGATATATCCAGGCAATGGAATATTACTCAGAATAAATTGCATATTGATATACATGCAACGTGGTTAATCTCAAAATAATTATCATCAGTGAAAGAAAGTGGGCAAAAAATAGTACATACTCTATGATCCCATTCATATAAAATTCCAGGATATGAAAACCAATCTTCAGAGAGAAAACAGAAGTCAGTGTTAGCCTGGAAAATGAGAGTTGGGGTGAAGGGCTAAAAAGGGCAGAAGGGAGAGATTGCAGAGGAGTAGAAGAGAACTTTTCTGAGTGATATTCATGTTAATTATGTTGATAGTTCTAATAGTTTCATGTATATATTCATGTGTAAAAATGTGTAGCTTATTATGGGTCAGTTATACCTCCAACAAGCTGTTAAAAAATTTTTTAAAAGGGGGGAGCCTGGGTGGCTCAGTCAGTTAAGCATCCGACTTCAGCTCAGGTCATGATCTCACAGTTTGTGGGTTTGAGCCCCACGTCAGGCTCTGTGCTGACAGCTAGCTCAGAGCCTGGAACCTGTTTTGGATTCTGTATCTCCCTCTCTTCCTACCTCTCCCCTGCTCATGCTGTATGTCTCTCTGTCTCTCAAAAATGAATAAATGTTTTAAAAAAAATATTTTAAGGGAAAATCTATTGGCCCACATTGCACTTTCAGTGAATCTCTTCAACTATGCATGATTTTAACATCCCACAGTGGTCAATTGGAAGTGTTGTTTCACTGAGTTATCTAGATCTCCCAAATGCTGACATATTTCATCCTATGCTATAAAAATATCACATTTGTTATCAGAAGAATCTAAGTATTTGGTAATTGTCAAGATGACAGTGATGATGCAACTTTTACAATTTTTTTCCTGAAAGTTTAGTTATATCAATGACAACAAATACTATCAGTTGTTTTACATGAACTGATGGTTCCACTCCATTTATTTCTGAGAAAGTATTTATCAAATACCCAAGTCTAAATAACCACAGTTTGCCTGTGAATAGATATTTTAATAAAAATGGTGCTCCTAAATATTAAAAGAAGTTAGTTCAGCTTGCAATTCAATCTCACAAATTACTTCTCCTAGAGACAGTTATGGTCTTTAGTGTGTAGCAGAAATATATTATGAATACTTTTTTTAACAAATGTTTTAAAAGCTGTGAATTCAAGAATCAATAGTCAATAGAATTAATAATTTTTACCGCTTCCTTAAGAGCATTCTTTTTTATTTTTTTTTAATGTTTATTTTTGAGAGACAGAAAGACAGAGCAAGAGCAGAGGAGGGGCAGAGAGAAAGGGAGAGAGTCTGAGGCAGGCTCCAGGCTCCAAACTGTCAGCACAGAGCCCAACATGGGACTCAGATCCACAAATTGTGAGGTCATGATCTGAGTCAAAGTCAGCCACTTAACCAACTAAGTCACTCAAGAGCCCTCCTTAAGAACACTGTTAAGTAAATTGTAATTTATTTTTAAACAGCAAGAGAAGGATAGTGAAGAATATAAGACAATTGTTTTGTGCCAGAGGTGTTCAACTGGAGGTGATTTTGCTCCCAGAGGATATTTAACAATGTCCAGAGACATTTTGGGTTGACACAACTTGGGACTAGAGATGGTTGCTATTGCCATCTAATGACCAGAAGCCAGAGATGCTACTAAACATTCCGATAATCAATACATAGGACAACCCCTTCAATAGTATTATCCAGCCTTATATTCCATCCTGTCATATACCATATTTTGTTTATCCAGTCATCAGCTGATGGACATTGGATTGTTCCCACTTTTTGGCTGTTACAAATAATGTTGCTATAAACATTCATGTATAACTTTCTGCTTAAACATATTGTTTTGAGTGCCTGGGTGGCTCAGTCAGTTAAGCATCTGACTTCAGGTCAGGTCATGGTCTCATGGTTCATGGATTCAAGCCCCGCATCGGGCTCTGTGCTGACGGTTTAGAGGCTGGTACCTGCTTTGGATTCTGTGTCTCCCTCTCTCTCTCTCTGCCCCTCTCCTGCATGTGTTCTGTCTGTCTGTCTTTCTCTCTCAAAGAAATAAGTAAATAAACATTAAAAATTTTTTAAAAATGAACATCTATCTTCAATTATCTTAAGTATATACTTAGGAGTGAAATTGCCAGGCCATATGATAACTCTGTGTTTAATTTTTTGAGGACTTGCCAACTGAATCCCCATCAGCTATGTATGAGATTTCCAATTTCTCCACAGACTTGCCAACATTTGTTATTGTCTTTCTTTTTTATTATAGCCATTTTGTGGATGGGAAGCAGTATTTTGTGCTCTACAATGATTTGCTTTTGAACTATCAATGAAAAGGTTAAAACAATAAAAAGGTAAACAAATTCTTACTATTACTATGAAAAAATTTTTGACTACATGGCTCCTAAAACTATCTGTAATCACATGTTGAAAATGGCTGGAACAGGGTATGGCAGAACAAGAATTGATAGTAAAGAGACTTATTGGAAGCTTACTATATGCCAGGCACCTTGCTAAGCACTTTATATAAGTTATCTCTTATATTCTGATTAATAGTCCTCTAAGATTACTACTTTGATTATCTTTACTATTATACAGGTGAAAAAATTAAGTCTTAGTGAAGTCAAGTGACTTTGCTCAATATCCCACAAAAATCCCCAAAATAAGATTTGAATCTAGATAGCTGGATCCCAGCACTCTATGCCTCCTCCTTTAGCATGGTGTAGGTCCCTCCCCGACTCAACCCTCAGCTTTGGGACATAGTCAGGGAAGAAGGGCAGGACTAAGGGACTCAAGAGCTTCTGATGGTGTGGTTTTGTAATTTTTAATTTTATATTTGCATGTTGGGCATCTTGAACTTTTCCATGATGTGTAGTCAACTGTAACTTCTAGGTTCCTTCATCTTTGTTTTATTCACTTACATTCCCATTCTTATCTCCCTAACACTTTTCTGCTATATATGATGAAAATTTTGCTTTCTGGAAAGGAGATGGGGATAGAGAAATAGGTCATTTAGAGAGAAGCTGGCAATCACCAGTGTATATAGATAGCTCTCTAGTCCCAGAAGAGACATTCTTTAGATTCTACCCGCTGAAAAAGAAGAAAGAATTTACAAACAGGTGCTGACAGTTCTACTTTCTTATGCATGAGTGTATTTTAGAACATTTCCAAAATCCATCTTCAAAGCTTCACCACTTTTGATTTGCTTTGATATATATTAAAAGTAAAGATGTGAGGCACCTGGTTGGTTCAGTTCATTAAGCATCTGACTCAGTTTTGGCTCAGGTCATCATCTCATGTTTGGTGGGATCGAGCTCTGCATTAGGCTCTGTGCTGATATCACGGAGTCTGCTTGGGACACTCTATCCACCCCTCCCCTGCACCACATGCTCTCATACCCTCTCTCAAAATAAATGGATGAACATTTTTTATAACTTAAAAAAAAGTAAAGATGCAACCTCTCCCTAAGACAAAACGAAATAAAGATGCTCCAGAGAAAAATAACATTAAGCTCAAATCTGCAACTCACACTGCAGTGTGAGGCTGCAATGCTTTGATTTGGATGTGGTAATGTGCAGAATAGAATAGAATGCATAAAAATAATGACTACTACTGTACTTTGTACCTATCATCTGCTATTTCACCTGTTGCATCTTGTGCAACAGGGAAGCAATGATAAACAGGAAGTACCCAGTTCCTACCCCATAGCTGACAGTTCAGAGAGAAAAACCTTTACAAATGTAGAAAACAAAAATTTGATTTTTATGGTGGTAACAGAGAAAAGGGAAATACATGTTTCTATAAGAGGGATCCAAACTATTATGGAGGCGGTGATGGGTATGCACATGCAATACTTAGAGTCCCTTTTTAAGGAGCATAGTTGACTGACAACCCCAACTGCTGTGTCTCCAGATCCACTACATTCAAAGCTGAGGCTATGCCTCTCCTGAGCCTCAACCAGCCAATGACTGAGCACAGCAGAGATACTACTGCCAGCCCATTCCTACAGGACACAGAACTCCTCTATTGGGCAATTCTGGCTTGCGAACTCCCCCATTGGCATAGGCAACATTTTCTTAGTCGGTACTGCAATCTTTTCTTACCCAGTTCTCCTTCATTCTTCCTCTCCTTCAACAGATGTCAGACTTGGAATCTGAGTCTTTCTCTGCTTACTCTTGCTTTCTCTCCTTTATCTTCCACAGGAATCTCCTCTAATAAATCTCTTGCACATCTAATCCTAACTTGATATTAGCTTCTTGGAGGACATGAACAGAGAATTTCTGTGAGAAAGTGTCATTTAAGCTGAAACCTAAAGGAATAAAAGTTAAATTTTAAAAATTGAGGGAAGGGGCTCCTGGGTGGCTCAGTTGGTTAAGCATCTGACTTCAGCTCATGTCATGATCTCATGGTTCGTGGGTTTGAGACCCACATTGGGCTCTGTGCTGACACCTCAGAGCCTGGAGCCTGCTTTGGATTCTGTGTCTCCCTCTCTCTCTCTGACCCTCCCCTGCTCATGCTGTCTCTATCTCTCTCTCAAAAATAAATAAAACATTAAAAAATTTTTAATAAATAAAATAAAATAAAATATTGAGGGAAGAAAAAGAACAGTCCTGAGTTAGACAGGAGTTTGGCACAGTGCCTGGCCATTTTTAGTGCTCAATAAGTATTGCTTGACTAAATGGAATGCAAAGTGCTTAATGTGTGGCATGCAATTATTCTTCATAAGCAGTTTTACAAAAGGAGTTCTGTTATTATCTCTATTTTACAAATGACAGAACTGAGGATCAGAGTCTAAAGTAACTTGTCCAAGGTCAGGCAGAAGTTCAAAGTGCAGCTGTGATACAAACAGGTTTGTTTGTTTCCAAGCTTGTTATTTTTAACTGCTTCTCTACCAACTTATACTGGCTCCCTTCAGAAGTATTGAAAATGGATTTTGAAAAGAAAGTATGCGGCTTCATCTCAGGATGTGATCTTGCAGTTTCTGGGTTCGAACCCCGCATGGAGATCTGTACTGACAGCTCAGAACCTGAAGCCTACTTTGGATTCTGTGTCTCCCTCTCTCTCTGCCCCTGCCCTGCTCATGCTCTGTCTGTCTCTCTCTCAAAAATAAATAATCATTAAAAAAAAAAAGAAAGAAAATACCTGTAATATATATATTTTTAATTCATAATCCATCCAAAGGCCACCACCTCTTCTAAAAACAGAGCAGAGACATCCTGAATTACGCTGGTGATGTGTATGAAAGTCGTGAGGTAACTGAATAGAAGTTCATTAACAGTCTACGTTATAAGCAGGATTCTACTGTTAGAGAAATAAAAGATTCAAAAAGATACAAAGAAATTCTGGAAAGTTCCTCTTTATTAACTAATGTTACACAGAAATCCATAGACGTCTTACTAACTAGGAGGGAATGATTGCAACCAGATGTACAGGATATGGTTAGATGATTATTACAGTATTAAAACTCTTCAAACTTACCAACTTTTTTCTATCCAGTGTGACTCTTTATAGGTCGTGGGTACTCTTTCAAAGTGCATTTTTCTGTATGCAATTTGTGAATATATACTGGTTCCTGAGATGAACAGTGTTCTTGGAAATTCAAAATACAATACTCCATAATTTTCTCTCTAATGAATTTATTGTAGAGCAGTCTAAGTGAGTGATTAGAGAGTATCAATATAAAACAAAGGTTAGCAATTATTGCCATATTTTACATGTAAGAAAACAATGGATGTAATAAAGATAGAAAAGGAAATAAATTTATATGTTCTAAATAATTTTAAGTATATCAGCATGTAATTTCAACTCAGATATTGCCTGAGAATAAACAGTACAAATTCTACATGAATACATTTTGAATATAATTCTCTATTCATTCACTTGGAGAGAGCCCTTAGAAATTTCAGGGCTCTGAAATTCAGAGTAATTCAGAAATTACTGTCATAGGTTCTCATGCCTTTAAAAATTACAATGATAAAATATAAATCTGAGCAGCAATTTGCTCAGAAGGATAAGTAGCTGATTTGGAGAGGTAGGATGCTAATGGGGTTTATTGCTTTCTATGATTACAAAAGAAATAAAAGTTTATGGGAGAAATTTTGGAAAATACAGTAATAGGGGTGCCTGGGTGGCTCAGATGGTTGAGCGTCCGACTTTGGCTCAGGTCATGATCTCGCAGTTCGTGGGTTTGAGCCCCGCGTCACGCTCTGTGCTGACTGTCAGCTCAGAGCCTGGAGCCTGTTTCAGATTCTGTATCTCCTTCTCTCTCTGACCCTCCCTTGCTCAGCTGTCTCTCTCACTCTCTCTTTCTCTCTCTCTCTCTCAGAAATAAATAAAACATTAAACATTTTTTAAAAAAGGAAAATACAGAAATATAGTAAGAAGGAAATAAAACATTTTAATTCACAGGATATGATATAATTTAAGTCTACAGGCCTGAAAGTTGCCGTTTAAAAGGTTAATTTTATGGGACACCTGGTGGCTAAGTCAGTTAAGCATCTGGCTTTGTTATCGGCTTAGATCATGATCTCACATTCTTGGGATCGAGCCCTGCATTGGGCTCCATGCTCAGCTTGAGATTCTCTCTTTCCCTCTATCTCTGTCCTTCCCATGCTGCTCGCTCTCTCTCTCTCACACACACACACACACTCTCTCTATATATATATCAAAATAAATTAATTAAATTTAAAAAAAAGTTAATTTTATAAAGACAAAAATAAGAATTATAATAAATGCCGATCAATAGCTCCATTTTTATCATCGTGAACATTTTTTTTAGAAAGGTATGATTTAATATGGCCCAGATTAACATCACAGTGTTTAACTTTTATTACTTTGAAAACTACAGAACCATACAATGTAAGATGATATTCTAAGAGATTCAAAGTAAAAGATAAATTCTGTGAATGAAAGAGTAATTTACTAGGCATTGAAGATTTCAAACATCTTGTTAGTTGTAGGCTCCAAATACCTGGACAGGATAACTGCAATTAAATGCATGAGTTAGACCAAAAAACTAACTTTTTAAATTGATCCAATAGTCATTTTTAGAATAACATTTGATATTTCTAAACTGAGTCCTGAAATTATATAGATACGTAGCCTTCTTAAGATTAACAGATTTTAGGGAATGTTAAAGAATAAAGCTGGTATTACCAAACCTTCTTTACAAAATCCATCAGTTACAATGGTTTCAAGTTTTCTCTCTTTGATCTTGTTTCTGCCTTCTCTGGAAAGTTCTTCATTCACTAATTCATTTGTTTATTCTATTTAAGCAATCATTCAGTTAATCAGCAAATATTTACTGAGCACCTATTATTTGCCAGATTCTCTTCTAGGCAAAGAGTTGCAAAGA